GTAAAACAAGTGAATTTTTCAAAAAAGGAAAACATCTCGAATTTTTTAAAAAAGGAAAAAATTACAAAAAAGTACATTTGTCAAAAGGGAGCAACATTCAACCAGGAAAGAATTTGGAAACAGTAGATTCTTCAAGAGAGATAGATTTTTCAACAAAGGAGGGGATGTTCCAAGAAGGGGGATAATTCCAAAAGTGGAAAAAGTTCGAAAACTAAGGTTGCCAAAAATGCAAAAATTTCAGAGAAGTCAGTAATTTAAAAAGTAAATTTCCAAAGAGGGGGAAAAAATCAAGAAATTTCAAAAGTTTCAATTTACAACAGTTCTTGAACTCCGAGGTGAATAGTTGTTGGTCGGGGATAGGGGAGGGGTATCAGGCGGGGGAGCGGGGGAGTCCTAACGATCGGAACAATTTCTCCACGGATGTTCAATCCACGCTCAACAAACGAAAGAAAGGAAATCTCTAACTCCGACGTTGACCAAAATTTATCAAACAAAAACAAAAAAAAGGAATAATAATAATGATAACAAGGAAGAAATACTTCAGCAATTGAATTCAAGATTCATAAGAAAAAACAATAAAATAAAATTTCAATTTGAAAGGGACACCCGGTGGATACGATACCTGGCGGCAATATTAACGCGGGAAAAGGGAAATCACGGGGAGAGGGATACGTCACACCCGGTAGACTAGGTTGGCGACACTTGCGGGGGGAGGGAAAGAATCGAGAGAAATAAATTGTCGAAAAATTCATACCTGAGATAGAGCGACAGAGTCAACACGAAGGGGAGAATGAGAGAATGCGAAACAATGTGGGGGGAGGTGATCTCGGCGCGTGGCACACTGATCGTGTAATGGTGAGCCACAGACAACGGGGAATGGTGTGACGTGGCCAATTTTGAATATTAATACTCTCTGTCTACATTTATTTTTATCAATTTTTCCAAATATCACTCAAAATAGTATCTTTCAAAATATTGAAATATATCGCCTATTTGCGACGAGGCAAAACAAGAAACTGCGATCCCTCGCCTATGTTTATATTAAGTTCCGAATAATGATTGGAGTCTCCTTATGACTCAATACGCTGTAGTGTTACAAAACAGGTCTTCCATTTGTTACGAGGTAAAATCCGGAGATTAATGACCTCGCTCAATTATTATTTGTGGACGTCCGCATGAAAAGGGACCACTTTGGCGCTATTGGACTTATTCATATGGGCGTATTCCTGGTTAAATTTGGAACATTTTGAGAGGTCACACGTCTCGCTAGATGAAAAAACCGCGAAGTTATAGAGCTCCAAAGTTGGAAATGGGAAAAACATAGTTTTGAGAAAAACGAGATCAAAGTTCGAGGTACTATTATTATTAGTTCTACTCGGAAGTTAAACAGGTGATGGTTTGAATACATAAAACATACCTTTGGAAACACAAACCGCCGTGTATTAAGTTTAATTTATCTCTTATTCATGAAATAAAGAAGATCCGACAAAGTGGTCGCTTTTCTCTAAAATTGGATTTTCAATAAATTAATAGGATTTTAAAAGAAAAACATGACTATTTCGAATTATTTGACTAAAGAAAATGTAGACTGCGTTTGAAATCATTTATTGTCCCTTCTTTCAGGAATTATACTGTTTTATTGTCGATGACAACAAAAATAAAACTGTTTTATTGTGGCTGTTATGATTGTTTTCGCCAATTATAGGTATGGTTTTGTACCTTCAAAATTTTCAGTTTTGAGGCTTCTCCCATAGTTTTACTATCATCAAAAAGACCTAAAATTTTCAATTCAATTTTTTTTTCAATTTTATTATGTTTACGATGTCAAATTTCCATTTTTCCAGTTCTTGACGAAATTTTTGATTTCAGCGGAGGTGAATGATTGTTTTTTTAATTGTCAATATGTATTTCCGACTGAAATTTTCTATTCTTCCGATCGAACATGGTTTCAATTAGCTCACCTCATCAAAAATGACTTGAATTGGCAAAAAAAAGTTGAAAATTGCAGATTGGATCCCCTTTCCCCATTCAGATTGCAGACAATTTCCATTTCCTTACTCAAAGTAACAGTTTTTATGGAACATATTAACAAATCCAAGTGGTTCTCACTCCGTTCTATCCAAAAAATAATTTTTTTCAAGTCTTTCTTTTGATTTTTTTTTCTATTTTTCTATTTTTTGTGTCGAAGTTTCAATTTGTATTTACTGGAAATACTGAATTTTCACATTAAAAAAATGGAAGAAATGGAAAATGAAAAGAATTTGCAGAAACCGAACTGAGAAAAGAATATTTTTTGGATAGAACGAAGTGAGATCCCACTTTGATTTTTCAATATGTTTCGTAAAAATAGTCACTTTGCAATCGAGGTGGGGGAAAGGGGTATAATGCGTGATTTTCACTTTTCTTTTGCCAATTTTAAGCCATTTCCGATGGAATGAGCTAATTGAAACCATGCTCCATCGAAAGAACGGACAATTTCCGTTGAAAATACATACTGAAAACTGAAAAAAAATGATAATTTACCTCTGCGGAAATAAAAAATTCACGAGTCACGAGTGTTAAAAATGAAGGTAAAAAATGAGGGTCAAAAGTAAGAGTCACGAGGGTCAAAAATGGCAGCCAGAGCTAGAGGTTAACGCTAAGGGTCACGAGGGTCAAAAATAAGGGCCGAAATGAGGTTCAAAACGCAGGGTCTTTAAGATCAGAAATAAAATTCAAGATCAAGGTTCACCAGGGTCAGTAACGAGAGTCAAAAGTAAGAGTCTCCAGGGTCAGGAATAAGGTTCAGACTTGGGGTCTGAAAAATAGAAGCAAGGACCAAAAAGATTCAAAAATAAGGGCCTGATCTACGTAGGAATAACCATTTGAAAGCAAATTTCTAATTTATTAGCAAAAATGAGCTAGCCAGTTATGAAAAAAAAACAACTGTCCACTTTTGTTATACGAAAACTCACTGAATATATGTGTGATAATATGTTCCCATCCACATGCGGACATAGACAAATAGAGGTCAAAACTAAGGGTCAAACGAAAGATCAGCAATAAAGGTCAAAACCAAGGATCCGAGAGGAAAAAATAGAGCTCAAGAATAAAAGTCATGAAAGTCAAAATGAAGCTGAGAATCTGAAGGTCACGAGGGTCAAAAATAAAAATCTGGGAGTCACGAAGGTCAAAAATAAAAATCTGAGGGTCAGGAGGGTCAAAAATGAAAAAACTGAGGGTCTCGAGTCAGAAATAAAGCTAAAAAACAAGAGTCAAAACTATGAGTCACGAGTGTTAAAAATGAAGACCAAAAATAAAGCTGATAAATAAGGGTCATAAGGGTCAAGAATAAGAGTAAGAAATTAGGGTCAGAAGCAAGGGCCAGAAATAAGGGCCTGATCTGCGTGGGAATATCCATTCGGAAACAAATTTCTAATTCATCAGTAAAAATGAGCCAGCCACCCAGTTATAAAAAAAATTATAATTGTCCACTTGTTATGATAAAAATCACTAAATATATGTGTGATAATGTGTTCCCATCCCAGCGTTGTCAACCTGAACGTAGGCGATTATGGCGCCAACGTAACAAACTTATGGTATTTCAATTCAAATTATGGTATCCACGTTAAAAGTCCCTTTTTCGGAAAATTTGAAATGAAACACACACAATCCTATTTTTTCTCTTCTTTGAACGTTCTATCGAACAAGAGGAATAGCTAGGAGTGGTACTGCCGATGTCTGGAAGGATAAACTAGGTGAGGAATAAATATAATCGAACCTGAACTTCTTAATTATGTTCTTTAGCATTTTTCTTTGGAACATGCGTTTAAATGTCAAGTAATACTTGAGTAAAAACTAATTTGGTTTGAGTAACACTGATAATTCGTCACATTAATAAATCAACAAAAACACATTGTCTTTGGTAACGGTATCTCCCTTCCATTGAAAAATCACATATCTTCGAAAATTGTTCCCTCGTCCTCACTTGCTTCTTACAAAAAAGTGGAAACCTTGAGTTGCTCTCTGGAATGCGGTTGTAACTGCGAGGCTGGAATTGCTTCTTGATGTGCCCAGAGCGACTTCTTTGTCATTCTGGACAACATGTCTTTCGATGCCTTGAACTTGTAACATCCTCCAGAATCACGCATCTCCTGATTGCTGAGAAGAATCCCATTCATCGTGGATGTAATAAGTCGATTCCTTGTTTTGGTTTTAGCCAAATTGACTTTTGAGAAAACTCTTTCACAATCAGCATTAGCGTGTGGGATAGATAGGACGTTCAAGGCAAAATGAGCAACATTCTGAAATATGACAGTTTCATCCAGCTTTAACCGAAGCATTTTACCCCAAAAAACGTCGGTTTCAAGCGTCCCCATTTCCACTTCAAAATCATGGGCCGGCATTCGACGCCACTTATCATCGATCTTCTGGAAATCTTCTCTAGTACAAGAACGTGGAACGAGTGACATGAGAGACACTAAACTGGGCGTTTTCTCTCTGGTGATTGACGAGAGAGCCTGCTGGGGTTTTAGGATGCTTATGCCTTGGAGGAGTGGATCATCAAAATCAAACCGAGCCTTCACCTGAACGCTAGCCTGAACAAGAAAAGCTGGACATCTGTCTCGAAAGTACGTGACACATTTCTCAAACTCTCCTGAATTTTTCTCCGGGTGTCACTCTGGAAGTTTTTTTAAATCTTCTAGCACATCTACTCCCAAGTAAATTTGCGTGATAGGCAAATACTCAGTGTCTTTTTTAGGATCAATATCAGCGAGATCAGTAGACATGACGTATTTTCTATTCATATAGCTTAATAATAAATCCATGAACAGCTCCTTCATGACTGGATACACATCAGTAATGACCACTTTATTTGATTGAAAATATTGGTTAGCCCAAGTAAATTTCGGCAACATCCACTTTAGAAAATAGAAATATAATTTCGTGAAAGGATCACTCAATTCCCTATGAATCGTTTCTGCTATAAGTAGTTTACTGGTTAGCCGCTTTTCTGTAAATTACAGCTGAAGTGCTGGCCACTGATCCAACAACCTTTGAACTACTGCAACCAATGACAGCCACCGGGTCTGGGAGGGATACAGCAACTTATGAATCTCTGTCTCGCAGAATATCTGGAATTCACCGAATTCAGACTGACGTTTACAACTGGAGGTGAAATAATAGTTGATATTGCGTGCCAAATTCTCTGCTGTTCGTGGCAGTTCCTCACAAACAGTGCTTGCACAAATATGCAATGAATGACACAAGCATTTTGAGATAGTTATCCCCGGTAGATCAGTTTTCAGGCGCGATGCAACAGAATTGTTCTTGCCCATCATTACACTGCAGCCATCCGACCCAAATCCTATGATATTTGCTTTGGGTATTTGTTGCTCGACGAAACTCAACATACTGCACTCATAGAGTCGTTCAGCAGAAACAGATGTCACTTTACCTGGTACCAAAACATCACATATACTCCAAAACTTTGTAGCTATACGCCCTGTCTCATCGTCGTAAAATCGAACCATAATGCAGCTACATTTCTTAGTTGAGATATCAGTAGATTCATCGCTGAGTACACTAAATTTAGTTGCTTTCAATTTATCTCCCAGTTTATTTTTAGCTGATACACTAATAACATTCAGGGCAATTGCTCGTCCTTTCGTGCGTTTGAGGTTCATGTTTTGAACGATTTTTGAATCCGTAATCAAATTTTTCATGAGGTCTGTCAAATGATCCAGTGCACTAAATGGCATATGGTGTTCCGTCGGATATCCTACGAGGCCTGTTTCTGCAACTTTAACAGCTTCATCCAACTGTGAAGGAATATCATGACCTCGAGTGAAAAATGAAGTCATAGGATTGATTGATTTGATGGAATTGCAATTGTCCTTGTGTTTGGAAGACTGTAGATGATACTTCAACACAGATATATCAGCAGTTAATTCTTTCGAGCACAGTCTGCATTTAGCCTTGAATTCGCCACTCGAATGCTTCTGAAGCCACGACTGAAACTCTGGCATATTCAACCAGGCTTCACGAAATTTTTGAGGGATTTTGACTTTTTTCGGAAGTGGTTTTGCCTTTTTAGATGGAGGAGTGATCACATTTTCTTCTTCTTCTGCCATGATCCTAACTCTGAAATTGGAAAAATCATAACTTGACGTATGCATATCGACTCCACTTAGAGTTGCACATTTAATCACGTACCCCAATCGCCAAAAAATTACCCTGACGACGAATAAATTACTCTTCAGTGTTCAACTTTTGTCCTGGGATTAAAAACCTTTGAAATTTTGATTCTGGCGCAAGCCATAAACATCGAAATAGATCAGACTAGCAACCATGATGAGAAGCAATGAAGAGATACCCGCCGGTGCAGAGATTTGATGAGAATGTATTCGCTGTTGCGATTGGTTCATGTTCTGGTATCGTCTCAGCCTATTGGTCAAGCACTAAGATTTCACGAGTCTGCTTTACCAACGGCCAATCCATCCAGTGGCCAATCCATCCAGTGGCCAATCCATCCAGTGGCTCAATCATAGCAAACTGCACCATATTTCAGTCATGGCCAGTTTTTCGTATCTATGCAAGATTTTTTTAACGGCCATTTTCAAAACATGCGAGGCTATGTGTTCTATACATTCAGTATTGTTTGATAGTAATAAATGTAGTTCCATAAATTCAAAAAAGATGGATGAAGTTATTTATGAGCAAAAATCCTTACAATAAAACCTAATATTAATGATGGTAATGCCCATATGCATGACAATGCTAATATTATTTTAATACCAATACTAGCTATCGATGGAAATCCATTGACAACACCTAACGTTATTATATATTCAAGAAACGAAGCAGTCAGTTGTTTAATTATTCAATTAATTGTTTTTCTCTATTCATTTCACAAGCACAGAGCAACATAAATATTTATAGCTCCTTGATTATTCTCGGCTTGAATTCATCTCATGTCATACCAGGTCAACAATGAAAAAGTGGTGGACGTCTATCTGGATGAAGTTGAAGAACCAATAGTTCCGTCTGATGTCTGATCATAATGATGAGGCCAAAAATCATGATGCTAGTCTGGATGAACGTCACCTAGATGCTAGGAAAAGAGAGATTGACGACGAGATTGGCCAACAGCTCATTGAAGTATATAAAAATTTTCGGATGACCCATTGGCAGAATAAAGAATTAAAAAGACAAGCAGTTTTTGTGGTCTCCTCCTCGAAACAAGAAATTATGGTAAAATTAGGGATACCATGGACTTCTCTATGGTATATGGCATCGGATGCGAAATTATGGTAGCAATACCATAATTATGGCATGGTTGGCAACGCTGTCCCATCCCCTGATGTACCATAGAATGCGATAAACTGTTGAAAAATCAAAAAATTCCTGGGTTTTCTCACGAAACGACAAAGTGGTCCCTTTTCTTTTTTCTCCAAAAAATCGAAAAACATACTTGCAAAAGAGATAGAGCCATTTAATTTGCGCGCTTCGACGTGGGAGGACCTGCAGTTCATTCCTAAGCAATAAAAAAAAAAGACGAATCTGAACCGTAATCAGAAAACTGCGATTATCTCGGAAACTAAATTCGCCAAAGTGGTCCCTTTTCATGCGATAAGCTAAAGCTTGTAAAGTCGTACTGTTCAATTGTAATGAAGTGTGAAATATTTCTCAGTAAAACCCTTGAAATCCCCCAAAGGAGAAATAACCTGTCATTTATCTCTCAATTCCCTCAACAATGTTAGAGATTCAATAGGCAAACAATTTGAATGCGTTCTCCGAATCCGGAGGAATGAATCCCAAAAGAAAATAACTTAGAGTAAATACTTTCCTGAGAACTCTTCGCCTTCCTGACGCACGCCGTGCAATGCACACCGTTGCCGTTTTGTTGTCAGGTGTGCTCATGCTTAAATTAACTTAAATACTTCATTTTTGGTGCAAGGAATTAGTTCAATAGAAATAAAAGAAGATAGAGATTTTTGATTAACAAAATATTTCTATATTCTATAAACTCCAGATGGCATGATTTGAGAAAACAAAATAAATTCGATAGATACGGGTCGACCCAAAATAATGATAATCAAAATTAAAGTGATACTTTTGCTCAATGTGAAAAATATCGAGGAAAATGATAATACAAACAAGATAATATTTTTATGCCACTCATGCCTGAAACCGGCTGAATTAGACACGAGACGCGAAGCGTCGAGTGACATTAAAATTTTGATAGCTTCGTGACATAAAATTTTGTTCAGTACTTGTTGGGAAATTTCGTCCTTAACGTGTGTGGTGACATCACTCGCCTTCGGCTCATGCTGTAACCCCCACACACGTTAAAGACGAAATTGCCCCACACGTGCTGAAATATAGTATTAATCAATGCGAAAAATAACAATGAAAATGAGAATCAAAGCCAAAGAAAATAATAATAACAATCTTCCGGAAATTCCGGTCCGCCAGACTCGACACAATCCAAAATAATTAATACGGATAAGTAATAGGTGATTTGGTGTCCGGAGGGCAGTGGAGAGGCTCGGCGATTATTATGTTTTTCTGTACGGATGGCCACTACACCAAACGCTGGTTGTGCGACCCCACGTGGGCTTTTACAAGGCCTCTTGCTCGCGGTGCGGGCCGAGATATAATTTTTCTGTTCTCCACAACCCCCAGAGAACAAAACACGATGTGCCAAGAATGATAGTAACAATAGTTAACAACCCTAGTAATTTCGACTATTTCTATTTCCCTCCGTAAATATTCCTTAATTTCCCAGAGTTCGACTCGAATAATTCAAGGACCCTCGGGATACACCAGTATTATGGAAAACTAATGAACCGTGGTAAGACGGCGGATCCAAGATTCCCCTCTGAGGGTCACCGACAGACCCTCAGCTTCCGTATCCCAAACCCAATCGAATCCCTCGGACTCTCGCGCGACACTTCGACAGACCAATTATCTCAAAAATACGCGAGCCAAACCAAAGGATCGAGAAATATAATTTTTGTGCACTTACAACGACGTGGAGCCCTGGCCCACCAGTTGATCCAACACGTGGTGCGTCTCGACGTCCTCCCGGTGTCCGTGCGATTTCTGGTACTCCTCCCCGTACCTCCGGATCTCCAAAATGTTCCCTCCGTATCTTCCGTAAGTCGCCTCAAAGTTATCCACATGATACGCTGTATGGATACGTCCTCGACCTGTCACAATATCACGTAAAGACACAAAATAAGACCCACACAAGATTTAACACGTGATAGTGGCGGTGGTTGAGAACGAAGTGAAGTTCTCGGCTGCGTTTCCCACCTCGGATGACGTACTTCCGGCGGTCGGTTTCGCTGCAACCAATCAGGGAATTCCGTTGCGGTTGACTCCCCCAGTGACGCCGTCACGAGGCCTTGACATTGACCTTCGGTGTTTCAATGTCAGTCAATCAGAAAATTTGTGGGCCGCGGCATCCCTGGAGTGGCCGTATGGTGGTGCCCTCAGTTCTTCTTTTTCGGAGTCGGTTCAGCTTCGGCGGATGACGTATTTACGGAGTCAGTCCCCTTCCACTGGATATCCCCAAGTTCAAGTTCGGAGCTATCCGTAAGGTGCTGCCTTCTAGGTGAGGATAGGTTCTCTATTTTCACGTCGTCGACTGCTTGTAGTTAGGGCGGTTTGTTTTGGTGGTGTTTGGAGGTTGAGGTTTCTCTACAACCTCTCCGGAGGCTGGGAGGTTTTCTAGGTGTGAAGCTCTTCTCCAGCTGTAGAATCCAGTCCTTCGGCGGTCGAGATTCTTGGGCCAGGTCCTCCAGGTGCTCATCGGCCTAATAATCAAACCTAACCTCCACCTGTCACTGGTGCATCCCGGATCCCCCCCCCCCCCAGCAAGACGATTATCTCCTTGCTCAGGTATTTATCCGTAACATCCCCAGCACTCCCAATCGATACTACAAACGACACTCGTCGTCGCAATGGAATGTGAATATTTCATTTGATAATGCGCTCAGATTTTTGTGCTTAGCCCCACGTCTGGCGCCAAATTGTAACCGCTGCTTATCCAATTTAATATAATTACTGAAATGGGGCTTAAGGGGATTAAGTTAACAATACAATTGAGGGATAAATTGAACCAAAGGATTATATTGCCTATTCTCAATAATAATACATAATTTCTTAGTAATTCGTCTAATGCCTTTTACTCGAGATCTAGGGGATGGGTAAGGCTAGGCGACTTTTGTACACGCAAAAGGGATTGACTCTAATAAGATTAAAGGGGCGAAGCTAGTCGTGTCTAGGGGATTGTAAATAAACAAACATTAACAATGGTTTTACTTGACTCTAAGGGGGCCGATGAAACGCAAGTGTAGGCTCACCGTTGGGGGGTAAATGTTTGGAGAACAATGGGGAACCAAGGGAAAACAATGGGAAAATAATGGGCAACAATGTGAAACCAATGGGAAGATGCTGGAGGCATCCGGTACTCACGATCACGTGGGAGGAACTAGTGATGCAGGACGTCTGTGGCGACTCTTTGCTGGATTATTCCTTCACTGGACTCCAGAGCCTTCAGTCCCCTCGACGACTCCTGGATTCCTCTTTTCACGTGACTGGAAGCGACTGAGAATGTTCCAAGTGATTCTCGCAACAGCAATTACTCTTTTCACTGACTTTATGGTATGCGTTAATTCAGCGCGAAACAACACTCGGGGCAGCTGACTAGCGAGTGAGTTCCTTTTCAGATTCACTTTTATTCCTCTGTTCGCGTGTCTCCCTCGCCCATTTCCGGGATTATTCGGGGCCACTCTTGGATCTCTGCGGGTCGAGGGTCTAGGGGGGCACTTCAGGGCTGTGTGGTGAACTGTTGTCGAGGGTGATCCAATTCCAGGGGTTATCATGGTGGGTACGGCTACCTGTTGTGCAACTGAATGGGTCGGCTATGCTGATGGTGCTCGGGTGACGTCGTTCCAGCTCCCAAAAGGGGGAATGGCGGTGCAGAGGGATGAAGGGAATGCTGGGGACTTAGGTGACGAACGGTGGCGGGAATCCATTATTTAGGGGGCTCACTATATGGGTCAAGAATATTAATTTTTGGGCCTCGTCACAGCGGATATGTAATCGACAACTATTCTTATTT